TATGGAAAAACACAGAATTATTCATCTGGTCAATTATTTTTCCTTTGTATTGAATTTTGCAAATTTCATTCAATATATTTTAATTGTATTTGGATCCCCTCACCTATCTCCACCTATCTTATCCACCCTCACAACTGCCTGATCAAGTCAGTATATTCTATGTATGCCTATAGTGTCAAATTTGTGCCCCCAAATGTCCTTTGGTGTGGGTCCACTAGAGCATGATCAGCCTACCAGTAATCACACCCTTAAAAGAGATTGACTCAACCCTCTCCAGTCTCCAATAGTTTCTCAGGCACACTTGGGATTTCTTTCTTTCTTTTTCGGTCTTTTTGAGACAGGGTTTCCCTATAGTCATAGCTGGCCTGGAACTCACTATGGAGAACAGATTTGCCCACACCTGTTTCCCAAGTGACGAGATTAAAGGTGAGAGCCCCCTTGACGTATTTAATATAATTTTATTTTATTTTATCTGTGTTTTTCCTGTATAAGTGCACCATGCCATGTAATGCCCGTGGTGGCCAGATGAGGGTGTCAGATCCCCTGGAATTGAAGTTACAGATAGTATGAGTGCTGGTAACCAAACCCAGGTCCTCTGCAAGAGCAGCCAGTGTTCTTAACTACTAAGCCATCTCTCTAGCTGCCCTTGTATGGACATTTTGATCCAATAGCTGAGCTTTCAGGGATTTTTCCTATGGAGACTAATAATATTAATGTGTTTAAAATACAGCAATTCCTTTTTAGGCACTTAATACAAAAGAAAACTGGACAAGTGTTCAGACATGCCCAGGGAAACATTTCTATTAAAATATTATTTATGAATACATAAAATATAAGCTTGAAATAAGTTTTCTTAAAACTTATTTAAATGAGTTATTATTTCATTATTAATGGTAAACAATGCATACATTAAAATTATGAGATAGCGCATGGGATGTAGCTCAATGGTAGTGCACTTACCTGTCATATAAAAGACCCTGAGTTCATGGAGCTGAAGAGATGGCTCAGAGGTTAAGAACATTGGTTGTTCTTGCAGAAGACCGGGGTTCGAATCCCAGCACCCACATGGCAGCTAACAACTGTCCTAACTCCAGTTCCAGGGGATCCGACAGCGTCTTCTGTCCTATGTGGGTATTGCATGACACGGGTGCACTTACCTACACACAGGCAATACACGTATACACAAAAATTAAAAAAAATAAAAATAAAAAAGTTTTTTTAAAAAAAAGACCCCGAGTTTGATCCCCAGTACCACCAAAACAAGTTATAGCACATTTTGATATAGTTACATATAATGATGGAAATAAATCCACAGTATACTGATACATGAAGAAAGTTTAAATAACATGTATAAAATAATCCTCTATTTTTAAGTTAAAAAAGAAACAACTGATATTGTACACATGGATGTGCCCAGCAAAACATCTACAAAGATGTACATGGAAAATTGTTCTTAGTGATTATCTCTGGCTAGTGGACTTCCTAAGCTCTTTTGATGTTTTGTTTCTTAAGGAACATGAATTGATCTTATAAGAATTTTTTAACTAATGAAGCTATTTCCACTTAGGAAAAATACCTCTCAAGATAATTCCACTTTTCTTGGTAAGGTACTTTTGATCAGAAATTTTTTCTAATTGTGGAATAGTTCATATTAATGAAAGTGGAAATGTTTGCTTGCTTGTCTTTTAAATAATTGGCTTTTTTCAACATATTCCAGAACACATATATGCTCCAATGAAAAAAAATTCTTTATTCATAATTGCTGTAAGTTTTTACTTTGTTATCGAGCTTAATTTGCAAACTGGAGTTATTAATGCTTTACTTTTCCTACTTAGGTATTTTAAAATGAATTCCTGTAGCTAATTTTAATGTCATAAGATTTAGTGTGTCTGGATGCAATCTCTGAATGAAAAGGATGCTATCATCCCGTCAACAAATGATCAGACTGTCACCCTGGTCCCTGTGTGGCACACAACGTTACTGTTTTCTTAACTGTCTCCAACAATAGCATCATCTTTGAGCTGTATCCTGGTCCAGTTAGTTTATAGGTTCTCTCTTGGCACGAATCAATCCAAATAGTCTGGCAGGATCATCATGAATATTTTCCTCTACCGCTTGGAATTCTGGTAGAAAACTATCTGCCAAATTGGTGTGAGAAATGCTGGCCTCCATTGCACAGAGGTGCACGTCCTTTTCCCGGTCTGACAAATTGGTGTTCGGTTTCCTGGGCTTTCTGCGCTTCCCCTTGATGCTAAGATCAAGTGAGGCATAGCACGTTTGAGCTTCCGCAGGTACCTAAAATGAAAGGCATTATTTTTCCATTGTTAGTCTATTCTTTAACTTTCATGACTTCTAGAAATTCCTATGGCTTATGAAAAACAACTTGTTTTCTGGCTTAAATTACATTATTATTATTATTATTATTATTATTATTATTATTTGCCGAATTTCACAGTTAGGATGACAGAAAGGAAATCAATGGTCAATTCAAAATTTTTGAGTTGAAAAATAAAATACTTAGGTGAACTCCAAGAATTTATGTCTTTTTCATGCTCAAAACATACAAGAACATTTTAGAGTGACTCTCACCTGTTTCTTCACCTTCACCTCAAGTGGTTATTACTGTATGTTGTCCCTATCAAGAAACTGTTCTTGAATATGTTTATGAGGAAAAAAGCACAATAGGGAGAAATTTAACAACTCATAAGATATACTTTATATGTGCTTGATAATTGATGATTTAATGATTTAATGGTACCCATAAATCCTCACCCATTTTTGTTTTATATTTTTAAAGATTCATAAGTATAGTAACAACAGTATCTGCTTACATGAACAGCATCTAGGAAAGAATGAAATTTTATCATCCTTCCCTATTATTTCCTTTTAGTGTATCTGTGTCTAGATCCCGTTTAAACTTCGTTTAGGTCAGTCTTGGAGCTATTTATTCATATCCCTAAAGGTCTAGGGGTCCGTTATGGCCTAGAGCTGGGTCAACGCCAGAATAAGAAGGACAAGAGACTAGGGCAATTGGGGAAGCAACAGGCTAAAGCCAAGATATTGAATTTGTTGTTGGAAAACCTATGATTCAATCTAACTGTACTATATACTGATTATAGGGCCTGGGGAAGGTTTATATGAGGCAAAAGAAATGGCTTTACTTATATCTTCTCTATTTATCAGATTTGCTATAATTAAATTAATAATTTCTTCAGAACTGCAATAGCTGCCTACCTGGTACCCTTTCTTTCATCTTTTCCCTCTGTCATTAGTCCCTATTTTCAAACTATTTTTGCAAAGTACAACTTTCACATTTTATTATCCTAGCCTGCAAAATCTTAAGCTATGGACTGAAATCTGGATTTCATATCTTGCACTTTAAGTTTTCCATTTTGACTCCCAGTACTCCCCTGCTCTGCTCAGTACTCCAGCAAAACAGGCAAGTCACTGTTTGTTACACACACTAGTGCTGTTACCTGCTTTGACTTTTCCCAGATAGACAGAAAAGAAGTCGGCAAAGTGCCAATGGCACCTGGAGCCACAGAGGACTGGCTGTTAAGCTGTCTATCACGCTGCTCTGCAGTTCTTCCTTTGATGAATTCCCTCGTCTTCCTTTGGTAAATTATGCCCAATTTTGTTCTAAGAGACTGTAAATCATAGTGCTATACCCAAGGCCAGAAAATCTTAAGCATGTGACCTAGAATGGATCTCCCATCCCTTTGACAATAGATAGTGCCCAGGGATGGGCATCTGCTTTCATAAGGGACAACTTGATGGTGTTTTAAGGTTGATATACATGCTCATGAATAGCAAAGGTAGCTTTTCCCCTGACTTGAAAGGAAAAAATATAAGGCTTCTAGTGGCTTGCCCACCCTTATTGTAGGGATCTGTTGATAACAGAAGAGAAAGAAGTTATAGGTGCATAAGAGCAATGAGGACTTCCATGCTCAATAACCTCAAAAACAAAATGTATCCTTAACTCTCGTGTGAGACAATAATTTCCCTTTTATACCAAAGTGCTTTGAATTCTGTTTCTGCTCTTATAAAAAATCATTCCAAATAATATATGGCTGGTCAATGCCTGCTCAATTTTATAAGACGATACAGAGGTCAAAGAATGTGAGAGTCAAGAAAGGACCATGATTGGACATTGACTGTACTTTAGACTTCCACTGTGCTGGTTCCGTTGAGTGAATGCGGAAGACAGAGAGCCAAGGGTAAAGGATGTGAATCCCTTTGATGGGAAGACTTGATTCAGAAATTAGAGGGCAAAACAGGTGGAAGGAATATTTTGTTACTCATTTGTTTTTTGTTTTAAATACCACGGTCATTTACACATATTACTAGGGAAATAAAAACAATTCATTCCCAGAGAAAAGGAAAATGGAGGAAAATGAAATAAAGTTGAAAGATCCTGAAAAAAAATGGGAGAAATATTTAGGAGCATGAAAAATAGGAGTATTGGCTTTGGAAAGGAGAGAGGATGCCTCTGATAGAAGAAGGAAGCAAGTAAAAAGAGCATCACAAATTTGTAGAACATAGGATTCTTATTACTAAGCTTTTGTTGTTAATAGCAGACTGATATACTCAAATTACAATCTCTAAATCATTTTCAAAGGGCAATGAAGTGATTCATGTTTTTCAATAAATACTTTCTTCCTTCAGTTTATGCATAGTATTTTAGATTTCTTATGCTTCTATGATTGACCAGTGTAACAAAGTATTATAGTGGCAAATGGGGTAGATCATAATTATTCTAATAAAATGATATTGAGCAAACATAAAGAGATGACTTCTAATGTGTGAAATAAATTTATGAATGTAATAAAGGCTAATTTTCTGAGTAATATCTTTAAATACATAATTTATAAAGGAGCTGGATTAAAGATGTTTCATGGCCTTGCACTTGAATAAAAACCAGATGAAGCTCAAACAGTGTTAGCTTTTGCAATCACTATGTATTAAGTCATAATTTTAATGTATAATTATCAACACGTTTCCAACTAAAATGCTGTGTCTATGTTTCTAGATGGTGTGATTATGTTTTATCCTCCTTTGAGAGCATTTCTTTTATTATCATAAATTACCAGAAGTTATTATGTGATGTATTTTTTCACTTTTTAATTTAAAATATAATTTGATGATTTGTGTGTGTGTGTGTGTGTGTGTGTGTGTGTGTGTGTGTGCATGCGCGCATGCGCAGATGCGGGTGCAGGTGCCTGTGGAGGTCAGAATAAGGTGTCAGATCCACTAGAACTGAAGTTACAGGTGGTTTAGACCTGCTCAGTGTGGGTATTGGGAACTAAACTCCAGTTCTCTGCATCTGCAAGAGCAGCAAGTGCTCTTAACTACTGAGACATCTTTCCAGCCCCCCAAAGTATATTTTGTAATTAAGCAAATATAAGATGACAGGTGTGGTGACTACTTTTTTCTCAAATCTCACCACATCTTGGGTTCTTAATAAAATTGTTAAGATGTCTGGTATTTTACAAAATTCACAAAGAAAAAAAGGAAAAGAAAATATACCTTATTTCCAAAGTGTGACCCATTTTAGAACAGAGAACATTCTCTGTAAAGCAGGTCTACATTTAAATTCTGTCTCCTTAGTATCTGAATGCTCCAGGACAAGATTTTCATGCTTTGCAAGTTTCTGTAAAATGGCAATTATAACGCTGCCTTCCTCGTGGGAATCTAAGGGCAGAATGCTATAAAGAACCAGATGCAAAGCCTGCACAAATTGCCTAGGAAATGTTATCCCAGTGTGTACTCTCAGCAGTAGAGAGAGGATATGAGAGACAAGCTTTGGGAGAAGAAGGAAGAAGAGCATTCTAACTGAAATGTATGATGCTTCAAGACCGTGCAAGTTCATTTGTCGCTGTATGCATGTATGTGTGTCTATAAAAACAGGGTCTTGCTATGTAGCTCAGACTGGCCTTGAACTGGAGAAACCTCCTGCTTTAGTCTCCTAAGTGCTGTTATTACTGGCACACACCCCCATACCTGGCTAGTCTAAGGATTTTGAGTAGCTTCTAATGAAGTTATTTGCTGAGTCTTATGAGGTTAGGCTGCACTGAAGGAAGAAGAGACAACATTCATATTGGTTTTTATATTTTTCCTTAGGTCTTGTCCTGCCTATCTTTATATAAGCTGTCTGCATAGTTCAGTTTCATATAATAAGGGCATAGCTGTGGACTTGTGTTAGAATTTACATTCATTTTCCTTTTGAAAAATACATGAAGGAAACACTTTTGTTTTTATTTTTGTGTAGAGTGGGAGTTTTGTGCACATAAATGCATTGTCCCCAGAGGCCAGAAGAGGGCGTCAGATCCTCTGTTGCTAGAATTCCAGGTAATTGTGAGCCTCTCCATGTGGATGCTGGGAACTGCACTCCTCTGTAAGAGCAGTATAAGCTCTTACCACTGTGTCATCTCTCCAGCCCTCATTAGCCTTCTAAAATAGAGGTATAACATTGTATATTCACCAAAATTATGTCATAACTAAAGATTTCTCTCTCTCTCTCTCTCTCTCTCTCTCTCTCTCTCTGTTTGTCTCTCCTTTCTTGAGAGCTGGGTCTTGTGAACAGTATGCCTGTATCAACTTTGTGTGTGTGTGTGTGTGTGTGTGTGTATTTATATGTGTGGAAATGTGCATGCACATGTGAGTGCACACGCATGTATGGGTGTGGAGGCCAGAGGTTGATGTTGAGTGTCTTCCTCCACCACTTCTCTGCCTTTATTTTTGAGAAAGAGTCTCTCACTGAGTGTGCACACAGATTGGCTAGAATGGCTGTAGGGACTCTCCTACTCTGCCTCCCCAGCACTGAGATTAGATAGGAACTGCTGCCATACCCAACTTCCCCCCGCCCCTGTGGGTACTGTGGAATACCAAGCTCAGATTTGCATATTTAGGTCAAGCAGTTTACTAGCCAAGTCATCTCCACAGCCTACATATGTCAACTATTTGTCTTTATGATACACAAACTTTTTAATCTCTAAGAAAAAGCTTAACTGACTGTAAACAATTCAATTTTCTCCTGTAAAACTATTGGCCCCTAATTATATGTAATTTTGAGTCTTTGGGTATAGCTGTTTTGGTTTTACTTCTGAGTTGCCCTGTAGAACTCAAATTCTAGAACTTAACATGTGATTCACCCTGCAAAATTTCTAACAGGCTGCTTCAAATGTACATCAGAATGCATGGCTCTTACGCTCTTGAAACATGCCTAGGTGCTTTGAATTAAATGTGACAGTATAGAAGATAAAACTCACCTGTGCACTTGGTGTGGCTTCCTGTGTGTCATTTACAGGTCTTTGTGGTCGAGCTTTCATTTGCTCATAGCAGTTTTCATCCATTGGTTCTTGGGATAGAAGAGATTGTAGTTTACATGGAAAAGTAAAAAATTCTAGGATAAGTAAAATACATGCTCCAAACAATATTTATAAATATAAACTCCCAAGAATTACTTTAGTCTTCTGTATGGAGATGCAAAAAGATTAAGAAAGCACAAACTGGGGCTGGAGAGATGAGTCAGTGGTTAAGAGCACTGAGTGATCTTTCAGAAGAACTGGGCTCGATTCTCCAGCACCCACATGATAGCTAACAACCATCTGTAACTCCAGTACCTGGGTTTCTGATACCCTCTTCTGACTTACACAGGCATTGCACAATACAGGCACACTTACGTACATGCAGGCAGTGCATTCATACACATAAAATAAAAATGATTAAAATAAATTTAAAAAAGCACAAACCATTACCTGAATATCAGACAGAGAAGCCTTTCCCCACAATATTAATGATAAAACAAAAAGAAGTTCTTAGGGAAAAGACTACCCTATATTATTTTTTTATACCATGGCAGGATGCGGAAGTCTCACCCAAATTACCATTTAGATGTAGAGATCCCATGTATTAAAGGGTTGCCTGTGTTATCTGCTATACAGGTACAATCGCACTTGGTGCACAGTGGCATAAAGCACAAGGCTCCCACATCAACGGTTACAATTTTATGATTTATTTTATGAGTAAGAACTTTTGTCTAGAGGCACTTAAAATACCCCTTTTTAATTAGAAAAAAAAAAAAAAAGATGGCTTAGGTCTGCTCTGTCCCATTAGTCGGTGTCATCACAGTCAGATCAGATTTCCTAAGTGCCTGGAACTGTACAATGCCAGTTCTAAGGCTCTAGAGCTTTTTGCTCAGTGTCTAAAAGCCCACAGACATGCACTCACTCGGTCCTTCATACTTAGTATGTCGTCTTATTCCACACCTTTCTTTTCCCAGACATGTCTCTAGATGTGTCCCTTTAGGATGGATACTTACCTGACAAAAATGTGCAACTCATCAATTTGGCTTCAGAGAGGAAGATATATTTATATACCAAAATGAACCTAATAATCTTTCATCTCTCTGAAAAGCAACACAGTTTATGGTCCATAAACTGGTGTTTCTCAGATCATGGCCCACTGAGAATTAGCATCAGAATTATGTATTAGTTTATTAAGGAAAATTTTTATAAACCCAATCCAGAATATGCTAAATCAGAATTTGGGAAATTAATCCCTGCAGCACTTAGGTTTGGAAATTACAGATCTAGCCTGCTTTGAGCCTCAAGAATTTAAATATGACAGATGAGCACCAAAATTCTGCAATGTGAAACAGGAGGGAAAATTCTGATTTGTTATAGTACAGAGAGAGGTTGGAGGACATTCACAATGAAAGGAAACAGAAAACTGAATAAACCTTTGACTCATAAAATCCTCATATTTCTAACTTTAGAAGAATTCCATGCCATTTTTGATGTACAGATACTCATATTTTTAGTAGATCACAGGAAGCCTTTGCCTTTGAGCTGCCATTATAACCCAGTCTCCTCTTGTGAACCAACCAAAGGCTTGTGGAAGGGGCAGGGACTTCTTTCCTCAGCTCTGTGATCATATCAGAGTTGTTTGTTTGGAGGAATTTAGAGTGCTTTGTTTTGAGGTGGTTGAGGAGGTTCTAGGAATAAGGGATGGTGAGATTTGAAGAACACTTTATACAACACAAAACTCATGAACCACTCAGTGATGATTTGGTTGTGTTTTCTCCCCATCTGCTATCAATCCAGCCCCAGGTTTTCTACTTAAAAAGGACAAGTTAAAACACAGGAAACCAGAGAAAGTGTTCATTGTTCCAGATTATTAAACTATAGATGATCACAAAATACTTTTCTGTGGATCATTTTTGATTCAAGATATAGCTGTATTTCATAGAATTCTGTGTATGTCAAAATTCATGGAAATAGAATCTTTCTGTATTCTCATTATTACTAGAGTAAAATGAAGAGAAAACAGAAAAACAGGATGTTGGCTTACATGGACTATCATAGTGCAATTTACAATAGGTCCCTTGGAAACATGTCTTGTGTAATATACTAAATATAATTGAATTTATGACTTCTAGGATATTTCACTATGATTATTAAAAAATGAGTCACCTTAAATTCTTTATGCAATTCAGTGGTGTTTACTTAATTTCTTGACATGTTTACCTTAAGCAAAAATAAAACTTACCTGGGATTGTATTATCTAAGTTACCATATATTGGAATATCTTCAACATAGTATTCATCATCTCTATGACAAGGAAAAATAATTTACTTTATTAGATAGAATCCACTTTACATTTAGTAAATATAACTCCTAAGTCATAATTGGTTAACTAATAACTAGAAATTAATAACTAATTTCTCAGCTAAATTCAATAATGAGTAAATTATTATATGTTCTTGTTGAGCCTCACCAATCGAGGCAGAGGTATACACGAGTGAGAGAATAAATTCAGGCATGTGTGAAGGTACAATCTGGGAAATGTGCATGTTAAGGAATGTGAGCATATGTGTGTGTGTAAACTAAAAATTGATATTTGGATCTTCTTTCAGGAATAAGGATAGTAAATAATGATTACTGAGAATTCTTGCATGTTAGGTACTATTTGAAGCACATTTTCTTTTTCTTTTTTGTTTGTTTAATTCTCATAGCAGCTCCAAAAGACAGGCAGTGTTAGCACCCTTATTTTATGAATAATAAATAGATGGGACAAAGGTTACATAACTTGCTCAAGGTCTTCAGAATAGAGAATAAGGGAGTTAGAACTAGAACTTAAGTCGTCTGTGCTCTTAACTATACAACTGTGATACATGTTTGATTACCCCCAGTATAATTCTAAATGGTCTTTTAAAACAATTTATTTAGTAAATAGTGTAGGCTTAGGCTGGCATATGTCAATAATGATTGACAAACCATTGAGGTTATAATGCTGGATTTGATGTTTTACATCTATTATATGAAAGGTCCAGGGGAAATTGTTAAAAATAGTTTTTTTATTTCCAACTACACACAGAAGAAGCCTGAGATTCAGATTAACTTATTTTATTCATTTTATGAGTAATATCAGCAATAATTGCCAGTTATGAAAACTTGTTCAACCCTTAGGCCAATCTGATGAGATGGATATGGCCACTTCCATTGTGCACACAAAGATTCGCAACTTGTAGGAGATCGACTATCCAGACACAGTCAATAATCACCAGTGCTAGAAGTGCAACATAAATTTGAATCTAAAGCCCTATGGTCTAGCCATACCTTGAGGAAGTCATGCAGAGGGTGACATAATCCAAAGGCTTTAGGAAAACAGTCTAGATCATGCAAAGACCATAATTTTTTGTACCTCTTTTCAAGAGAACTGACAAGAATACCTGAGTACATGTTCTTATTATTTGATTCAGTTTTCTTCCAGCTTTATGTGAATAATGCCATTATTACAATAGATATTCTACCATTGTTACTAGATTGTCTGCCTACCAATACCATGTCATTGACAATGGCCATAGTGACTAGGTTACAGAGGAACATACAGTTGTAACAGTGGCATCTTATGATGTTGTACCAAATGCTCTGAGATTACATGTCACTGAGATCTGGGAGGAATTGCATTAAAAGAAAAAGGAACTCATCCCAAGGCATGACACTCATATTATTTCCTGTGCTTATTAAAGAAGAAAAAGTATATATAAATACCAAGAAGGTCTCCTTAAACAAATAATAGTTCAAATGATGCCTGCATGAAATGGTTTGAAAAGCCCAGATGCTGACACATATTTCATTTAGTCAATAGTGAAGTAATTCATCTGTAACTTTCTTTTTACCTAGAACTTCAATACAGTTTAATATTGGGATGGAGAATGGACCTGATCATGGCATTTCTCTGGATATGCAGAGACTATTCTAGCAAAAGGAAAAAAAAGTATTTAATAAGACAATCCATCCACTTTCCTAGCCCATATAGATACCAGATACAACCTGCAAACGATAAATCTTGTCCAAAAAATGAATATTGCTTTATTCCCTATGAATGAAAATAAGATGTGATTTATAATGTTATGCTCTGTGTCTACAGGCAGGTCTCAAGTGATTAATCATCTTAAATAAACTATTATTCAGGAGAAGTTTCCTAATGAACATACTTAAAAAACGTATTTTTTTCACTTAGCAATGTCAACTAGCTCCAGCTTATTGTGGATGTGTAATAAACTTCAACAAATGTTGTTGTTTAATGGGCTGTTTAATGTGTAAGATTACAGTAATTACTTAAAATTTGTTTTTTCTTTGCAGTGCTAGGAATTAAACCCAGGGTTTTGTTTATGCTAAGCAGGTGTTCTCCCACTGAATCACATTACCAGTGCATATAGTGATTATTTATTTATTTTTATGTGTATGAGTGCTTTGCCTGCATATTTATATGTGCACCCACAGGGGTTGGAAGAGGGATCAAATCCCCTGGGACTGGTATTACAGATGGGGTGGTTGTTAGCCACAAAGTAGGGGCTGGGAACTGAACCCCGGTCCTCTGCCAGAACAGCCAGTGATCTTAACCACTGAGCCATCTTTCTAGCCCTATATAGTGATTTAAAAAATAAATTAATAAATTATATCATAACTGACAGGCTAGTTCACCCCTGAGTTTGGGATCATGTCAAATTCTCACTCTGGGCATGTCTGGAGTGGTGCTCTAACCATTAGGTAAATTTACTGATGTTCTAAAATTGTAAAATATATTAATTATATCATTTACTGTGGTTCAAATTTTGTACTTTCACTTAGATCTTATCCACCCCTGTTTTAAAATTTTTATTTTATTGTGAAATTTTAAGGTCTCAAATGCTTTATAACCTAAGAGGATTTAAATTATTGCTTTCCTTTCTTTTTGGTTTGTAAAAAATCATTATTTCCACCTAGATGGCCTTGAACTTCAATTCTTCAAGTAACAACTGTCATATTTATAAATAAAAGATGTTAAAAAAAACTACTTGATTCTTCTCAGCTCCCAAATTCTATTATATAAATACAGCCTTCCAACATCCAAATAAAAAAGAAAAATATATTTCTGCAAAACTAAATAATGTTTTAAGGAGTTGAAAAATTGTCAGGAGGAAAGAAGAAAGAGCAGGATTGGGGATCTGTTAGAAATTGGTGTTGGAAAATGTTCATTTGTCTTGTTTAATAGATATTTCTTTGACTAAGCAAGGATATAAGTTCAGGTTTCATTAGCATACAAATATAATTTAAAACCACAAAGGAGTAAGAAGTTACTTTGGAATGAGTATTGGTAGAAAAGTATTTTGCAAGAGGAGCACTGGGCAGTCTGATGGTTTAAGGTTCAGAGGAGGGTGGAAAGAGGAAGCTTCTAGAAAGATGAGCAAAATAAAAGTTGTGTGTTGGGGCTCACACCCAGAGAAGTAAGCATTTCAAATAGAAAGTACCAGGGTGCCAACTGGTACAGATGGATAGAACAAAATTAGATTAATATTTGCCCTGTGGAGTTCATTGATCACTTTGGCAAGAGCTGTGAATTAGAAGATCAAAGATTGAATAGCCTAGATTCAAGTCATCAAAGGAGAAGAGAAAAATACTGCAGATATGGATAGAACAAGGTTACCTGTGAAAGGTGCACGGTGGAGAAATTGTAGAGTGTGGCCTGAGGGTGGCATTTGCTTTTTTCTTATTTTTTAAAACATGGGTGATACAGTCTACCTATGCACTGATGTGAACATAGAGAAGGAGCCAACAGAATATCGAAGCAAAAGGAAAAAGGGCAAGTTGCTATAGGTGTTCTTGAATACATAATTATTGAACCTTTACTTTCTTCATTAGGGATTGTGACATGGATATCAATGTCTTGAATTTGGAGTGGGAGGGCACCAAGGAGAAAACCCTGATCCAGAAGTGTGTAAACCACAGCTATCTTTTGTGTTGGCTAGAGGTCAGAAAGTTACTCCAGTAGTGTTCCCTGTGAGGGACACAGAACTGGCCTCTCAGATCCCTACTGTCCAACATTGAATATCCATTCACTTTAATAGTGTTCAAATTCCTCTCTAATTCACCTGAGTCTTTAGGCATATTAGGAAAACACAGTAGACTTATATTGCTAGTGCTTTGGCGAGTTTATACAGAAAAGTCTCTGGCCGAAGTTTGATGGAAATAAGACAAAAAGATATGCCAGGATGAAGAGTTCTAAAGATGGGAGAATTCTAGAGCAGTGATACAGATCTGTGGGTGACACTGGGGCGACTAAGAATGAGACTTGGGAGAATCAAGAGCTGGGAAATGGCTTAGTGAATAAAACACCTGACAGAGAAGCATGAAGACCTCATTTCAGATCCCCAGTAGCCTTGTAAAAGCAGAAATGTGAGTTTGTAACCCTAACACCCAGAGCTCAGGGGCAAAGAAAGACATTTGAGAAAGGGTTCACGGACAGTCAGTCTAGACAAAACAGCTAGCCCCAGGCTCATTGAGAGACCTTGTCTCAGAAAATATGGGAGCGTGATAGAACATACTAACATTGACCTCTAGCTTTTTCATGGGCACATAAGCAGCACATGCATGTGCACACACACACGCATCCCACACACAAATTAAAAAGAGCCTTTTGGGGAACATATAGGATCTTCAAATGAATTCCCAAAGAGACCTACAAGGAGTACCCGATGTCTTGCACTTATATAAGTTGGGGATCAGGGCATGATTCTAAAAGGAGGTTGAATATTTAAAGACCCATTGGATACATGTGAGACATAAGCATACAAGTCTTGCTGAACACATGCTGGGAAGTTGTTAGGTCAGGAAAGTCACCTGAGGGTTCTGCCTTAAGGATTATCAGTCCTGAGAAGTAGTAAAAAAGACAATTAATACTAGTTATATTTAGGACAGTAGTTATATTTAATTAGTATATTTAGCAAAGAAAGAAATGGCAAGGGCCTGTGCCCTGTGGACCTCTAGACAGACAAGAAATCACCTTAAAATAGAGGAGTAGCTGAGCCGAGGTGCTTTGTAATAAAAGCAGCTCCAAGGAGCAGTCTGTGAAAAAGTAGTGGGAGGTTGTCCCATATAAAATTTAAATTGCATTTTTGTGATTTTCATGATATAATTTGATGGTATTAAGATTCTATCCCTTATTTACACCTTTCCTTACTGCTCTCTCCCCAATTTAATGTGCTCTATTACATATATATGCATAAGGCCTATAGAGTCTAATTTGTGTCCCCAAATGTCCTTCAATGTGGGCCCATCTACTGTAGCCTGCTTAGCCAACCAAGAGCTCTATCCTTGAAAGAGACTGGTTCTCCACCTCCCCAATAGCAATCATTTGCTACAATTTCCTTAGATTGGGCTGAAACTTCTTACCCACTTCCCCATGTCTACACTGGGATTTTGTCTGGTTTGAGCTAGCATGGGGACTTGTGCGTGCTGTGACTATTGGTGTGAGTTCATATGAGTGACTGACCAGCTGTCTGGAAAACCCATTTCCTTATGATCATCTACCACCTCTGGCCACTACAGTTTTTCTGCCCTCTATTCTGCAATGATCCCTGAGCCTTGGGAGGCAGAAGTGTGAAATATATGTGTCCTATTTGGGGATAAGTGTTCTTGAGAGGAACTGAAAGCTGATGAGTCATTGTATATGTAAACTAATTATAAACCACATTACTTTTAAGATTAGGACTGAACAAGCTGCCAAGTAGACAGGGATGTTCTTATATGCCACTTCTTTTCATCCAATAAAGCTTCAGAGTTCTGATCAGCTACCTTCTGCAAGTAAACTCTGTATTGTCATTAGTATTTTTCAGATGCTAAAGCTGGAATTTATCAATGTTGAATATTTCTCCAAGACTACAAATCTATGATTGCAAAAATTTGACTAAAATCCTGAATTCTTTGAATCTCAAACTTCTGCTGTATAACTTCCTAACACATATGAAAAAAGAACAAAAATTATGTAGAGTTTTTTGTTTTAATCAAAAAATTATGTGATCCAAAGGTGAACGGCATGGAGTGTGCATTTCAGGTTCTGTTATGTCAGATTTACATGCTGTGTTGTTTTTAAGTTGATCGTGTTTCTGACCTTCTAGGACAGAAAGGGCAGGGACTTGGGTAAACAAGAAGGTAAAGGCAGAGAATAATTTCCTTTCCCTCCAGAATACTTTTCACCTCGCAGATATTTACAGGGGCAGAGCAGGAGAGCAAAGGGGAATGCCGTGTGACAGATGCGTGTTTCTAACAGCATTCTAGCTCCACCTAAAAGGATTGATTGAGTTCCACTTGCTTGTAGTGTTCTCTCTCTCTCTCTCTCTCTCTCTCTCTCTCTCTTGTGTGTGTGTGTGTGTGTGTGTGTGTCTGTATTTTAATTTGTTTTATTTTCTTTTCCTTTGTTCTTATTTATTGAATTTTGGCAAATTTCATACAATATATTCTGGTCATATTCTCTCCTATCTGCACCTTTCTTAGGACTCCCCCCACCCCCGATTTCATGTACTCTGTCATATACATTAAGGCCTATAGAGTCAAGTTTGTGCCCCAAATGTCCTTTGGCGCACATTTTTATTCTTTATTTTATGTGTATGAGTGTTATGTTTGCATGTATGTAAGTTCACCATATATGTACAAATGCTCACAGAGGCCAGAAGAGGGTATTGGATTCCTTAGAACTGGAGTTATAGAGGGTTTTGAGCCTCCATATGGATGCTGAGAACTGAACCTGGGTCATCTGTAAGAGCAGCCAGTGCTGAGCTGGCTGCTGAGTCATCTCTGCAGCCCCATGTTTTATATTTTAATGAGTGAGGGTAGTTTTAAATTTGTTTGCCTTTGAGCCTCAATTTGTCCCTACAAAATTATTCTGGGTCCTCAGTCCACATAATAAAGAGAAATAGACTAGTTATAACAGATGTACAGAAACTTGAAAATTAGCATACCTTTTATAGATAGTATCTGCATTATATATTCAATTTTTAGATACATGGAGTTTTACTGCAATAGGTAATGAATGCTTAAATTGTTTATTAACAGGTAATAGAGGCTTAAATCCTTGAGGAAAGGCACTGTCTCTTTCCATCTTTGTATTTCTATTTTTGGAAGACCATTCTCCAGGTAGTGTTGGAACAATAAAATCTCTCTTATTTGTAATACTCAAGATTAACCATAGAATGCAACAGAAAATGCAATACCCTGGGATGAAGAGGAACCAGCTAGAACAACCCAAACTTGGTTGCAGTCTCCCACAGAGGCAGGAAACCTTCAGCACTTTCGCTGTCCATTTGTCCTTGGGATCTAAAACTCAGTACTGACTGATTTCCGATGTCAAGCAATTGCAATGCAAGTGGGACACATGCAGATGAGATTCTGTTTCCTTCAGGGCACCTGTCCTAGCCTTGAGAAGTGACTAATGAAGAACCTGAGGTTTATTTGTACCTTTCTTCATATGTGAAAATAATAAATTCTTTTCATGCAACTTACCATGTGTATTAGGGTTCTTCCTCACTAGATGCAGGCAAGTAGGAAAATGTGTCCCACAATGTAATATGTTGAGTGTTCAAACTCCTGTTTCTGGTGGTTGGCATAGTGATGATCTTCGCTAACCTTTATGTAGGGGAAGTCAGCACTTTTGTAATCAGTGAGATTGGTTTGCAATTGTCCAGCATCATGCTTATTGAGTGAGTAATTGTGGGATGAATGGATGTTATGTAAGAACCAGCCTCATTTCCACATTTGTAGTATAGATAAAAACCTGCTTGCATTGAGATGAATATTTTACTAATTTTTCTTTCCAATTCATCTCATCTCACTACCAGAATCATCAACGTAGTCTTTAGTTAAATGATCAAATCATAAAACTTTCTGTCACAGCGCATCTTTTCATTTTGTTTCTCATTACTTTGTCTTTTGAAGTAGATTCATATTATGTAGTCCAGCAAGCTAGGAATTCAGGATAGACTTTCCATCCTTGCCTCACCAGTGCTGGATATAAACATTAGTGCCATCACTAAACCTAGCACATTGCATCTTAATTGTCCTTCAAATGACAAGTATCAAGTTAATCACCAAAGAGATTAGCTTTTGCATGTTTGCTGTAACAGAGTGATCGCCAAATCATTCTTGATGACTTGAAAATTATCTCAAGCTAAAGAATCCAATGTGAGGAATAATCACAAAATAAAAAATGTTGTATGCAAGAGAGTCTGCTTGCAACCCATATCTTGAACCAGTAAGTGGCATTTCACACAGAGCAGAAATTATCATAAAAAGACCCCTTAGAGTTCAAAAGGGCTTAAAAATCTTACCCTATCTAGTTAGTAAGCTTTGTTTTAAAAAGATCTTTCAGTCTATCATCTTGGAAGATCTTAAAGAACTTGTGGGAAGTCCTTCTTGTTTATATTTTTATTCCTAAAATGGAATGTCCAATAAAATTATTTATTTGGATCAGAATATATCATCCTGAAAAGTAAAATTACTTTACTATGGATCATGTCCTAGGTTTTGAGATCATACTATACAAGTTTCTCTGTAACTAAGCTAGTAAGCATTAAAGAGACTATTAAAGAGTCTATAATTAAGTATTATTTTAGAGTATAAATTCATCACATTTTGCTACTGATTGACATCACCCTTACAGACAACATGCCATTAGGCATATTTTTCTGTGTAAATATCTTTTTGTTTCCTTTTTTAAAAATTTATTTAATAACCACATACTTAGAAGAAACATTTCACTACATCAGTATTGACATATTCAATAACAATTTTCTGAGCTAGGCTGCATCTCTTACAAAATTGGCTGTACATTTTTAGGCTTACAGTTTTCCTTTGTTTTTTGAGACAATCTCCCTATATAGCCCAGGCTGGCTTCAGAATTTACTGTGTAACCCAGGCTGGCCATAAACTTGTCATCTTTTCTGTATTGTCCTCTCCAAGGCTGGAATTACTGGCATAAGACATCATGCCTGGCAACAAACCTTAAATTTTATGAGGTATTATAGAGTTATTTTTACTCTGGGTTCTGAAGTGCAGCCTAATTCTCTATAAAGCTAGACTGTACTCTTAAGATTTGGTCCGAGTTCTAATGTATCTGTTTCTGAAGTTAATGACAGTTTAGCATATCATTTTAGTATTCACTTAGCTCTTTGATTGACTCAGGATGTATTAAGAACTAGGGTGGATGATAATGATCTAATCTTCAGATGAAAACAAAGTAATTAAAACTTATTTTTCATTTTATTTAACCCAAGTGTAACATCTCTGAGCCAAATCTATAAGCAACATAGCATTTGTTTCTTCCTTTATTAGTTGGAAATCATAATGCGTGAATTGACATTAACATACCTTGGAATGTAGTCATCAGAGTATCTGTACATTTTATCTGAAAGATATTAAAAACATATAAATTAAAAGAAACTTTGACATATTAATTAATTATTCTTCAGTGTTCCGAGGGGAGCTAAGCCTCAGTACAAGCTAATGAATTTATCAAGCCACCCAGGCTACTACTAATTGAACCAGGGATGGTTTGGATTTGAGTGTCTCCAAAGGCCCCCTATTTGAAGCTTTGATCCTCAGAATGTCAATATCAGGATGTGCAGTGGAACCTTTAAGAATGGAACCTGGGGGAGGGGATCTTGAATTGTTGAGATTAGTGGTTTCCCCATGTGACTGCCTGGTAGCTCTTGGGAGATAGTTATGAATAGGAAAAAAACTGACCACTCCCTATCTCTCCCTTGGAGACATAATCACTTACTCGAGCATGTCTTTTGCCATTGCTATCTGTCATGAAGTAATGCAGTCAAGGGCAGCCCTTGCTATACAGCCTGTGCTAGACTGTTCCAACTTTGAACTTCCAGGATGATGGGCTAAATAAAAATATTTTCTTTATAAAGTTAGCTACCTAGGTATTTTGTTGTAGTAATACAAAACTCACTAACACAAGGGGGAAAGACCTTCCCTTATTAGAGCCAATCAGATTCTGTCTTGGTAATTTAAGGCAGAAACAATACACCTTAGAAATGATTTTGAGCCCAGACCCCCAATTACTTTATGCACAGAAAACAATAAACAGAAAAATCTAGCATTTCTATTCATGTCTCCCTTGTTCCTGAGCACTGTGACACATGGACACTTTTTGCCTTTAAGCTCTATCCATGAGTAACTTCTGTTACTGCCCTCTTTCCAATTTTTTTTTTAATCTTTTAGAGACAGGGTCTCCCTGTAGTCGAAGCTGACCTGGAACTCACTGTGTAGACCAGGCTGAGCTTGATCTCAGAGTGCTGGAATTAAAGGTGTGTGCCACCATCCCCAGAAAGGAAAATAGAGTTTTAAGGAATGTTTTAACGAGAGTAATAGATTCACAACAAATTATTGAAATGAATGGATTAAGAAATATTCAAGGTGCAATTCTTATCATTAACATCAATATTATTTTAGAAATTATATTGTCTATCAATAATTTTTATATTAACTTAGAGGGATATATTATGGTATCTATTATCTATTTGTATTGATTATTATTGAACATGGCATTGATTAAGCTAAAATCTTGCTATTCTATAAAAATAAAGACTAATACTATCTCAGTCTCTGACATCAAAAACTAAATGATGATCTTTCAACTATATTATGTAGAAAACACTGTGTTTTGGAAAAGAACTAGCAACAACATTTTCAAATAATTAAGTCAATCACCAAACAACTAGCAAAAGTATTTTCAGTTAAACTTTTGTTATAACGCCAACTTGGTCTCCAGAGAGGTTATTAACTGTTACAAAAACATTGCTGGAAATATTTATGAAACGGTCATGTTAATAGATGAAATGGACATGTCACATGTCACATGTCAGTGTTTGGGAAGAATTCTGTGGCTGACCAAATGAGGGAAGTTTTTGCAGAGTCTGTCTACTAAGCTGCTATAGAACCTAAAATGATGGATGTAATCCATTTCGAATGTCAAAAATACAGTTGTTCCAGCTCTCAGGAAATAGCCTATCAAGTACTGCATGTGAAATATGAAGTAATTTTTAACTGCTTTCAGATTAGCCTTTTGAATATGAATATCTAGGAATGCTGGAGGGAACCTAGTAAGATCTAAATGTATCATGGTAACCACAAGCTAATGATAGTATAGTAAATCATAGTATAGTAAATCAGAAAATATGAGAAATGTTAAGTAATATCAACAGGTATAAGAAAAGATTCTTTAATATAGATCAGAAAATTAAAAATGGAAAACAGCATGATATTTGTATGTATTTCTATGTTAGAAGAATGAAATACTTATATTTAAATCATTAAGTGCTATAACATTTGCTTGGAATCAAAGTTCATGTATAAGAAGTTAATAAAACTATGGGATGGTATAACATGGAACATATTTATGATTAGCAATCAGCAGATGATGGATTTAGTACCAACTATGCAGTATACTTGCTATATGACAGTGTGAAAATTATTTTAAAAGTATGGCTATCAGTCTACAGAATAAAATTAAAATCTAGTATCATGAAGTTGATATAGAAAATGAAATAATGCCTGTTAAGATACTTTATAAAATGACAAAGCTACGTATCAATATGATGCATTCTAAATTCATACCATCTAAACTGCAATTTGTGCTCATTGAGTTGGAAAGTTTCCTCATAACTGAGATAACTGAAAATAGACCTATATTATTCAGATAGTAAAGTGACAATATTTATAAGCAAAGTTTGATTTGGAATGAAATCACTGAAATCTCACCTTTGGTGAGAGGATTGCCACAGTTGAAATAAAAATAAAATTTAAACATTTAAAACATTAGCAATAAAAAATGAATTTGTGACTGGGATATAGCTCAGTTGATAGAGTTCTTGTCTAGCATGCACAAACTTGGATTCCATCTCCAGCACAGTATAAATGGTGCTGTGACACATGTCTGTAGTTCCAAGACTTCAAAGGTAGAAACAGGAGAATCAGAAGTTGAAGGCCATCATCTACTATGTAGTGAATTTGAGGCCAGTTTGAGGTTCATGTGACTCCATTTCAAAAATAAAATAGCTGAGCATGACATGGTGGGGCATACCTTTAATCCCAGCCATCTGGAGGCAGAGTCAGGTGGATCTCTGTGAGATCAAGACCAGCCTGGTCTACATAGTGAGTTCTAGGTCAACTGGGGCTACATGGAGATCTTGTCTAAAAAGCAGAAATGAAACTTAAAATAAAAAGAACATCATTCATTAATAAAAACAATACAAAGAAACAAGTAATGGATAAGGGACATTGTACATCAAGATCAGTTGTAGAAGAGACAGCCTGAAAGAAGACTCTGAAAGGCCAAGGACACCATGTGCCATGCTGGTCTCAGAATTGAAGTGTGTAATCTGATAGGCCCTAGCCCATTTCCCATCAGTACTTGGGTAATTTGTTTTACAGTCTTTTCTAGTAAGGTTTATAGACAATGATCTCTTTAAATGGGAATTCATAATGAAAGTTCTGATGTCTGAGTGAAGCATGAAGGTCAACAAGCTCAGGCTCCTGCAAGGACTCTGCTCTGTCACAAGGGCTGAGAAGTTTATTTAAAAATAAACAGCATGATTTAAACACAGCCTAGTCATCTCAGTGGTATGTGGCCAAATTGAAAACCATGTGCTCTACTACAGAGCAGTCAAGTATGCAAGATTGTGAGTGTGAAGAGCTGAGTGAGTTTCCATGATCCTCCCCTGTGATTCAGATGCAAGGCTTGCGGTCACGGTGCACGGTTGAGTGGGTGCGAGGCAAACACATCTGCTTTTATGTTTTCCCCTTTAGCATGTCCAGCCCTCTATGCATACTGTTAAAAGAAACAGCAGCACACAGCTGAAACCCCAGCATTCAGACTTTCTGATTCATTTTCAGTGAAAAATGGCCACAATATTCTAGTGAATAGGAGGTACACTGATAGGACTTTGATATCTGTGCAAATCATATACTTGTTTATCCTCCTCGGAGCAGAGAGGAAGAGTTGGATAAATAGTATTCTTTGGATTTAATGGAAGAAGAGAGAATACATTCTTATCTGAAAAAGCAATTGATATAATCCCCCTAAAAAATAGATTTGGACAAAGAATCTCATAAAAATAAGGATTTATTTTGGAAGAAAGAGAGGACTTCTTTTCAAAGCTTCTACCTAGCTTCTGCAGAAAACATTAAGAAAAGGCTTATTTTGTGTGTCTGATTGAATGTGTAGATATTACATTGTCACTGGAAGGAGATTTTCTTTTGTAATCTATTTAATACACCCGCAAAACTTCTTCACTGGCTGCTGGCCAAGGTAGAGTCATACCTTGCAAGTTTCTTAGCCACAAAAATCAGCAAAAAGATGCAAACATAAAAGTGACACGAAGCAGGGTATTGTGTTTATGGGCCACATGGTAGAAAACTGGCTGATGTGACAAATCTCTTCTAGCTTGTCTTGCAGATGAAACAAAGCAAACGGGAGTACTTAGGATTAGGAAGTAACCAAACAGTTTGCAGAAGTAATTCAAAATCTGCCTGGGCTCTCTGGACCGGAAGGATAGTACTGCTGATTCATGGGAATGGGAAAAGATGGCAAGGTTAATGTTCACACTCCAGGAAAGCTGTCAGGAGCTGGACAATTGGAGGACAGCAGAGTCAAGTGCAGGTGGGATGAGAAAATTGGGCATTCCTACAGCATTGATGAAGTCGCTCCAAGGCTAATCATCTTGGGTTTGCACATCTGTCTACAAAGTGCAAACCCCCAAGTTTGTGTGTTCCTCTTAATGAGAATACATCCAATAAAATGGTGTAATATTTAGAGCCAATTTCACAGCAATCTCAGACAACCCACTGAGAGGGACCTGAATGTGACTTACATGAACAAAGCTGTGACTACTAAGGCTCTGGGTACTATATAACTTGTTAAATAATACAGAGATGGGATAGGAAGTGGAGCAGGAGCTGGAGAGGACACAGGGCACCAACATGATTGGAGCAGCAAAAAGACTGAGGAACTAACGTCCACTGAAATAATGTGCAACAGTTAAGTATGGTCACAAGAGGCCACAGAAAGCCTTGGTAGTTACTGTCAAAAGAGAGAAGGAAGCACCAGGTCTGTGAGGTATGGTGATGTGGATTATACCAGATCCACAACCAGCCTGCTGCCTCCTGCACTGGGCTAAGATTTACATATATTCTCTTTTTCTTACAAGAATTTGATGGTGTAAAAGGTGTTTTCCACATATTGTAAAAAGGAAACTGAGACTGGGAGAAGTTGTTACTTTTACAAGATCTGACAACAGAAGATCTAAAAGCAGAGTGAGCTTGAATTCACATCAGGTTTGCTTTAAAACCTATGCTGTTAAAAACAGTTAAGGGGGCTAACGCTGATTAAAAATACATCATACCTGCAATTTATTATTTCCTATTTTCAAAAATATTGTGTTTTTTCTGCCATATTACTTTGAGGCAATACAGCCATTTGTGGCTTAGCTGGGATAGTAAGGGTTTGTAGAGTAAAAGAAGAAAGTAATCTACCATGCAAAACCACATGAAAAGTTAATGGCAAAATGATATGGATATGAATAAATAAATGTAATGCACGAACAACCAAAACTAAAAACTATAAAGCTGAAAACTGTAAAACTGAAAATTATAATTCACAGAATTATTTTAAAAAAAAACAGTAGTGTTGCCAAATACTTCTGTAGCAGATGTAAAGAGTCAATGAACTTAGACCAATCCCAGTTTGGGCTATGTTGATAAAAAGTGATTCTTAACATCCATGTTTCCTACAATTACAGGGCTGAAAAAAATGACTATATCAGTTGAAAGTAGACAGTCTAGAAGGAGTTTTAGTTATGTGATTGGACTTGAGCTCACTACATCAATTTACCCAATATCTGGCCCTGCATAACACTTCAAAGGATTACCATGGGGCTTGAAAGAACTTGAGCACGCATTCAGATAGTGATTCTGTCTGTTTCCCACTTTAAATTATTTCACCCCTAGATTACATTCACCTTTTTCTAATTCAGGTAGTAGTCTGTATTCATAAAATACTTCAATAAAGAAATTAAAATATGTTATTTAAAAGATTCTCTAAGGAAAAGTACTATTTTTCAACTCCTTTTTTTCTACAGAAGGAAACACAGGAAAAGTTTGATAATGGGTCATTTATACATCTGCCTTATAAGACTGGTTTATTTGAAAATATATTGGTCTTTAAAATAATTACCCCAAGCATCACTACTGAACAGACAATGCTTGCCCTGAATTTCATCTTAGTCGTTGATATAATAGGGGTCCTAAAAGAGTGGGGTTCCTGGCTGCAAGTGCTTCAGCCGCTGTATAAAAAGTAGAGATCACCTTGAAACAGACACCTTGAAAAATTGGGCACGTAGGCATGATTTTTATATTGAATCACTGTGTGACCTCAGCTATGTCTCTCCATGTTTCAGTGCCTCTCACTTTTAAAATCTGCATGGCAATGCCTTCTTTCCATACGGTATCAGCATTATCAATATTTTAGAAGCTTTTCCTAGTGGATCAAGGACCTTTCCTGCAATTAAATCATTGTTCTAAATTAGCTTCATGTGGGTTTTCTTAGACACGTGAGCACATGTGTCTAACTTAATTTTATTAACTTGTTTTATTTCTTCCCATTGGTTTAGAGAAAATACTTCTGTCCTTTCCTTTCTATTCTTTTATGACCACTGACAGGTCCTGCTCTGAAGAGTTTCTTGGTCTTTTGCATATTAAGACATCTTCAAGAAATAATAACTTTAGTTGCATAATTCACCAATCCATGTATTCAGTATGCATGTGATAAGTGTCCACTGCATGCACAGGCTGTACTGGGCTTTACTCTGTTTTAACCTTGGCATATACAGGTAAAAGCTATCTGGTAAGAAAAGGCAAAGCTGACTGTGGCAGATCCTCTTGACCTGTCCTTCTAGACTCTGGTTGCATTGGTAACAAGCCCAGATCTACTGCCTTTTCAAGCCTATCTGAGCCAGGCCAGCCAGATTCTGGGCAGACTGAGATGCTTCAATGGAATTATAAAGAGCAATTCTTTACTTCTATCACCTTTCCTCAAAAGATTGAGATTTCATTATTCGTTCAGTTGGAAAAGCTTGTTTACCAGAATAATCCCTTCAAACTATAATCTAAGGCAGAGATCAAACTACTTTGAGGAGTTTCTTTCCATATTTCTGATATGATTTCATTAAATTATGAGAGCCCCAAGTGTGAAAATACCAGATGGAGTTCCTATAGTTAAAATATCCTATTAGATACATTTCATAACAGCACCCACTTCCATAGACTTTCCGAGACTCTGGAGCCTCCATTCAAGCAGGTGTCATGTAACAATTGTCTGGTCTTACCTTGTCGCTGCTTCTCTACATAGTGAGAAATATTGAAGATCAACGATATAACCAGAGCCAAGCCCAAGAAGGCTAGAAGTCCCCAGAGAAAAAAAGGGCATCCAGAGTTTCCTGGAAACAAAAGTAAATGTATTTGAGAAATAGCAGCTGACTACACATTTGTTTGACTGTGGCTAGCCCCATAATTCAAACCATTTGGGAAGAGCTGGGTATGGTGGTTGTGGTTCATGCTTAAGATCCAAACACTGGGGAGACTGAGGCATGAGAATTGCTGGGAGTTTGAGGCCAGCTTTGGCTATGTAGAAAGGTTCTATCTTGAAAAAATAAATAGAAAGAAAGAAATTAAGAAAATAAATTGCTGTATTAATGTGAAGGACAAATCTTCTGCCAAAAAATTAACACTGACAGAGAAAGGTTTTTACAGATTTTAGTGTTAGTGATAAGTCTTTGAATTCATCATGGACAAAGGAAGCAGGCTTTTTATACTTTTAGTGTTGATTAAATGAAAGATAAATTCAGTCTAGCTATTAAAGGGTAACAAGCGGTCACTGATTATAAGAATTTCATCTCAAAATCAAGACTATTTTGATTACCGTGAATCATCATTTGATATACTTTCCCCTCCTTTATTCTTCAGGCTAAAATCATTGTACTTTCTTTATTTGCTGAAAACTACTTTATCATTTTTTCAACCTCAAAAATATAGCATACTCTAGGTATCAGGAGGGAAAAGTAATTCTGGACTCACAGCGACCCATTTTTTGGTTAGAATTGGCCACAGTGACTTTTTCTCAGACCACTAAGTGTACCCTTAATGGATAGGGGAGACCCATTGCTGTGAAAGCCTCTCTTTTCTTCATTTTCCTGGAGCATGAGGGGAGTTTGTTTGGGTATTGTCAATCAGTCCCTCTTGATAATTTACACATATTTGAGCAACTACTAAGACAATAGACCTGAGTTTATATATCTTAGTTGTCATGCCAACAGGGCCCACATCGTATACTGATACATCTAACCATTAGGTATCTCCTCTATGCCAGAGACCATATACTAGAGAATCAAGGACATAAGACAAAACAAGCAAACAGAATCCTTGCTCTCAAGAAACTATGCAGTTGGAGCATAGCTGTTGAACACGACTAGGATTTCAAGCTGTAAATAGTTTGTAAGAGAAAGTAGTTATAAGAAAGATCACAATCCTTCAGAGCCTCAACTCTCTCACTATGAGAGCAAGTCAGTCACCATTTTAAACCCTTTACAGAAACTAAAATATCACTTTAACACAAACAGAGCTTAAGGGGCTGGAGAGATGGCTCAGACGTTAAGAGCACTGGCTGCTCTTGCAGAGAACCTGGGTTCGTTTCCCAGTGCCCACATGGTAGCTAACGAACCATCCATAACTCCAGTTTCAGGGGATCCAATGCCCTTTCCTGACCTCTGTGGGCTTTGAATGACATGGGCGCACTTACATGCATGTAGCAGGAAATTTACTCATACACATAAAATAAAAATAAATAAAATATGAAAAAAATAAACAGACCCTAAAATATCTTAAGAGAAATTAGTTTTGCCTCCCTCATCTATCTATAATCTTTAAACGAAGAGTCAAGATGTACAAGAAAAATATTTTGTGCTGCTCTATTGTTTTTAGTATCTCAAACATTTAAATTGTGATTGCTTTTTTTGAATTCTTGTTGGCACTTCAACAGTTGCTTAGCTGCGCTCAGTGTCCTTGTATTCAGGCTGGCATCATTGATTTCCAAATGAGAATAATCATGCATAGAAAGAACTAAATGTATTATATATGTATTTTGATATAGGCATGCGTGAACACACACCTATGTACAGATAGATAGATAGATAGATAGATAGATAGATAGATAGATAGATAGATAGATGATAGATAGATAGATAGATAGATAGATAGATAGATAATTTCCACGCTATTTATTTGCATGTGTGTAAGTGTAGTATGTGCATATGGATGTGTGTGAGTGAGCACACAGAAGTCAGAAGAGGACATTAGGTGTCTTGCTCTATCACTCGCTGCCTTATTTCTTTCATATGGATTTTCTTACTGGACTTCGAACTAGGCTGACAGCCAACAAGCCCCAGCATTTCTTCTGTCTCCACAATGCTGCCTTCACAGACTTGCACGCAGCCACAACTAGCAGTTTTTGTTTTGTTTTGTTATAAGATGCTAGGATCCAAACTCATGTCCTTGTGTCTGCACAGCAAGAGCTCTGACCCATTGGGCCATCTCTTCAGCCCCACGTATTTATTCATTCACAAATACATTATATGAGTTTGAATTTCTTTTTAAGCTAGAAATATTTGTCTATTTGCTACTTCCTCTTTAATTTAGTTCTATGTTATTATTTCTGTGTGTTCAGAAGACTTCTGCTGAGAACAGAGCTATTTCTGATTAATTCTGTGGCAACATATAACGTGTTCTTTACAAAATTTTTTCAAGAGTTAATAATGAAAAAAATTAATAATGATAGTGAAATGTGTGAGATTTTTTTTCTTTAAGGCAATTTTTATGTTTTATAAAGTATAAAAAAGAAGGTTTAAGCCGGGCATGGTGGCGTATGCCTGTAGTCCCAGCACTTGGGAGGCAGAGGCAGGCGGATCTCTGTGAGTTTAAAGGCAGCCTCATCTACATGGTGAGGTTCCGGACAGCTGGGGGTACAGGGGGAGCCTGCTTCAAAAAGACAAAAAAAAAAAGGTTTAAATAATCTATTGCCCTGTGTAATAATTTTATTAAAAACACTAGATTTTGCTAGGCCTGGTGGTACATGTCTTCAATCCCAGCAGCACTTGGGAGGCAGAGGCAGGTGAATCTCTGAGTCTGAAACTAGCCTGGACTGCATAGGGAATTCCAGGTCAGCCAGTGTTACAACGTGAGACCCATCTCAATAGAAACAAAACAAAAAACCCACTACATTTTCTTGGGAGAAAATGACAAATGTATTCCTAATAAATAAAACCCCAATAAATATTTATAAGCATTCTACAACATAACTATTAACTTTGTAAAATACAACAGAAATTCTGCATGTCATCTGATATTGTACATATGCCTAAAATTGCTTATTTCATCTTCCTTTCCTTTTCTGTTTACCTCCCTCCTTCTCTTCCTTTCTTCTTTATTCCTTTCTCTCCCTCTCTTGCTCTCTCTCCTCTCTCTCTCCCTCTCTCCCTCTCTTTCTCTCTCCCTCCCCCTTCCCCTTATTTTTCATTTGTTTGTTTGAGACAGGCTGTAACTTGAGACAGGCTGTAACCCAGGCTGACCTTGAACTCACTAAGTAATGGAAGATGACCTTTCAACTCCTGATCCTCCTGCTTCTACCTCCCAAGTACTGGGATTGCATGAATAAGCTACCATGCCCAGCTTTTATTGATTTTATATAGTTAACTGGTGAAAAGATAAAAACGCAAGGGGTCTGGGAAAACTGGTAAAGTGCTTGCTGCTAAAACCACACATTCCTAATTTTTTTCAGCTAATTTTTTGAAGATGAATGGCTAAATCAAATTATAGGGACAGGAAAGATGGCTAAGCGTGTATTGGTGCTTGCTGCCAAGCCTTGCCACTAAGCCTTACTACCTTGACTTAGATTCATAGAATCCACATGGTAGAAAGAAAGAATCAACTCTGCAAGTTGACCTCTGACCACCACATGTATGCCCCCACATATATGCACGTATGTCCTTGTGTTCAATTAACATAATTGATCTTTCAAGTGAGAATAATCTTGCATATGAAGAATCAAATATTCTATATATGTATTTGATATAGACATGCATGTACATATATACAAATAATTTGCCTGCCATTTATTTGTATATATAAAAATATATAAAGGATTTCTGTATCTCACCAGCCTGGCTCTGTTCCTATGAGGTCAGTTGACAGCAGCTTCATGTTTATTGTTTTTTCAACTGATCCCCAGTACTCTACCCACCACTCCTGATGGAACTTCTGTCTTCTCATCTACTAGTTCCATATGTTCTCCTTCCCACTGGACTTTGGAGATAGTTGGTGAGCATCTTTTTTTGTTTGTTTGTTTGTTTTCTTTTGCAAATGTGTATACGTGCTGCTGTGCTTGCCCCTGTGAACATATATAAAGGCTAGAAGTTGCCATTGGGTGTCTTTCTCTTGCTTTTCCACCTTATTTTTTTGACACAGTGTCTCTTATTGAAACCGGAACTCTGTTTTGTTTAGACAAGTTGGCCAAGCATATCCCAGGGATCCACTGCACTCTGTGCCATAGGACTGAGGTTACAAATACACTCCCCCACACCTACTACCTGGGCTCTGGGGACCCCAGCTCGGGTTCTCATGCTTGTACAGTAAGCACTTTACCTTCTGAGTCATCTCCCTAGCCCCAAGGTGTTCTTTTTTGATGCTTTTCATAGCCATTGACACAGGATAAGGTCTGTTCCTGTCTTTGTTCCAAATATAGAGGACATAACATCTTTCATTCTTTATCATAAACTTTTTGCCCAGAATGCTACTTCTAATTTCCTACTTATCTTCTGAGATTTATCTGGTGTAACCTCTCAATCATTTGCCATGCCCCAATCACTCTGAAGCACTTGTAGTTGTCAAGAGATACTACGCCTTGTCATGCCCTTATGTTTCTATATGTCCCTTTGCCTGAAATGCTTATCTACTTAGCTATGACTCAAAAACAACTAGACACTCTTCAAAACTACCTTCCCTTTGAAGCTTTCCCTCGTGTTGCCTGTCCTTCCCCAGGGGACATCCTATACATCTCTCCACACTTTAATAAGTATTCAATGAATCATTTATGCACAAATCTCTTTACCAATCTAACTGTGAATCTTCTAAAGAGCAATCTCTTTATTCATCTTTGGCTTCCTACCTCAGTTTCCCCATTTGTAAAAGAAAGTAATAATAGTGTCTGTTGTTATGGGAATTGAATGAAGACTTGGAATGAGGTTTTCAAAATAGTGTTGCTCACTAATAAAATGCTCCATCAATGTGAGCTATTGATGCTTTTATTATCTTTGCTATGATCATCTCACCACTGGTAAGTCTACTATTATTTCTACAACATATCCAGCTAAAAGAAGCTTCTCACTAAACATTGTTAGCTCACTCAAAGGCTGAAGAATAAAATGAAGAAGGGTAATATAATGGCCCAGAGCCGAAAGAAAGTTTCTGATCAAGTATGAGGTCTTGACACCTCCACAACAGAAAGAGATGTTGAAGATCATGTTCCATTCATCTACCCAGGAGAAAGAACCTACTTCCCAGCAACTGGGAAACATCCTTGTGAAAAGAACAACATATTAGGCCATGATAGCTTTGGTAAAAATGCTCATCAGCAATACCCAGAATTAAGGGCTTTTGTCTGCCCTGAACCTCCAATTACCAAGAAACATGATGGTTATACTTGTTTCCCAGAAAATTTGAAGCAGTAAGTTGGTGCTAATAGCTAGGTATCTGATCGAAGTGACAGATGTGTCTACCACAATAATACAAAATTTATTTTCTTCTGTGAGTTTAATTGATATCATCAGTGAAATATCTGGAAAAAGGAATTTGGAAACTATTACTAGTAGAGTTAGGTTATGAGCCCAACTGCAAGGCCAGAAAATATACACTTGCATAAAGCCAAGCAAGTAGAAGTAATTTCCTGATGAATAACATAATAATTTTGAAAAGTATGTGATGGGGATTTGTTTTCTCTCTCTTTTCAGCAATTGTAACTTAAAAACATGAAGTGTTTATTTTCCATGAATTCCTATCATACTACAGAACAAAAAAGGGAAGTTTTCCTATGTGCTGATAACACAAAGAGTAAACTGAAAGGCAGAGTAGCCTCCCACAGCCGCTAATCTGTCTAGTTATTGTCAGAGAAAGAAGACCTACGTCTTCTGCAAGAGTAGCAGTGCTCTTAACCACTGAGCTACCTCTCCAATCCTCCAAATTACTTTCTGACAAATGTCCGTCATTTAAAAATTTTATTCCTAGCAGCTACATAGGATAGTTATAGTTATTTACTATACTGTGATCTACTATGACTTCTGTAAGTACATATTTTACATCTAAGTTATCATAAACTTGACCCAAATATTACACTGTCTAAAATTAAACATTTAATGGATATACTGATAATTTATTTTTTTCTAAACTGAACTTGTTTCTCTGCTTTAGAAATAATCCAAACGGGCAAGAGAGATGGCTCAGCAATTAAGAGCACGGCTGCTCTTACAAAGGAGCCAGGTTCAAGTCCGAGTACCCACGCGGTAGCTAGCAACCTTCTATAACTCCAGTTCAAGGGGAATCCAGCACCCTCTTCTGACCTCCAAGGGCATTTCACAGCACAGGAACATTTACATTCATGCAAGCAATACACTCATTCACATAAAAAGTAAATAAAAATAAAAGAAATAATCCAACCTAGAAATCATCCATCAAATCCTCAAGGGGTTGTGGGATCTTGATTATTCACGTATCTAAAAAAGGATGTTGAATTCATTTTGGAAACAAATTTTGACCCTTCCTGAATGAAGCTACCTAGATTTTCTCACAAATGGATATAGAATGACCATGGATAGCTCTCCATTACACAACTCATCCCAGATATGGTCCCATGGTTTCTTAAGAGAATGTGAACACTTCATTCATCTGACTGACCATTAAAGTATACTATCAGCTCTAAACTGGCAACAGACAGTTGGAATTCAGGTTGTAGTCAGAACACATATAATTCTCCATTGCTCTTTTTACATTGGTCGGTTTTCCATGTTTCCTGCGTTTGTTGTTAGGACAAAAGAAAAAGAAATAGCCTATGAAACTCACCATTAAATTTATTAATTATGGCGATATTACTGAACAGGCAATTGACATCCACCTCTGATACATTGCTTCCTTAAGCAAATATCAAGGGATATAAGATAACCATTTTTGTTTTGGTTTTGTTGCTTTGGTTTGGTTTGTTTGAGGCAGGGTCTCCCTGTAGCCCCAGCTGGCCTGAAACTTGCTATGTAGACCAGGCTGGGCTCCATCTCACAGAGATCTGTGATACCTCTGCCTCCTGAGTGCTGGGGTTAATGGTGTGTGCCACCGTACCCAGCTCTGATAGCCATTTTGATGAGCTGTGTCCTTTAATCCTTAATTTTTCCTCTACCTGATTATTTGGTTACCTTTTACACTATTTTATGTTTCTAAAACTCCTCTTTCTGGGGGAGTGATAAAGTACATAGACACCAATAACAAATCTCTGACACTCACTATCTTTGGAAGAACTACTAAAACCAGTCTCCTTTCTACTTAGTTTTTTTTCCATATTCCACAGCTTCTAGTATTTTGTGTGCACTCAATAAATTTTTATACTCTGAGTAAATAAAATATAGCCTAATATAAAAAATGACCATTCAAAGAAGTAAACAGAAAGCACTAATCTTACTTTTAATTACAGTAACTACAGTTATAAATCATCCTATCATTTGGACAAAATAGAAGTTGCATTTTCCCCTTTCTAATTAAAGGGAGGATTGAAAATGGGTAGCTGTGAAACAGGAGTTCCCAACTTCATCCTTGTGATCTTGTGACATCAGGGTCTCTTCTTTCCAAAGTATCTTATGCCTCCTAGTCAATGTTTATTGACTTTAACTGAAGAAAACACGCATGTGCCTGTGAGGTAGAGGGCAAATTTTAAGAGCATGGTAAGAGTTCTCCACTGCTGGACTCCTTGTTGCTTTTACAATTAAACTTTGAGACTGGCAAACATCACAATCCTGTTGTGTTTGAAGTTCTGCCCAAACCCTTGCTGTAGATGAGCCTGTTTGTCTGTGCTTAGTTACTTCATTGGGTGCACACACTTGTGTTTCTTCCTCAAGAAGCAACCACATATGCTGTCTTAGCTCTATGATATTAAAAGAGCTAGCAGCATAACAGGCATAAGATATAATCAGATAACACGCAAATCACAGAATTACAAGCTGCTTTAAAGCCCATGCAGAATGTTCAGAATTCAAGCTTGTTATAATCAATGTGATGCATGCTAAACATTGGACTAGTATGTTGTATTTATGAAGATTTTTAAATGAGAGCAGCTGTTACAAAGAAGCACTCCTGGAATGAGAGTGAATTGCCGTCTCTCTTGGAGAAGCAATCTAGTGATAATGAGGCTTAAAATGTTCATAATATCTTATTCAGCAATTCCAATTTTAGGTATCATTTTTGAAACATAACCCTTAATAAATGAAAGCCTTAGAATTGTTCATTTTCCTGCCACTTAAAATAGTTTTGAAAACTGAGTACAACATAAGTGCCAAACAAAAGCGACTGACTGAGAAAATTCTAATTAGTGCAATCGATGTCATTCTGTGCATTCATTTAAAGTGACTAGGCAGAAGCTGTAATGAAAGGGAATGGTTACATTACAGTATTCGTGAGAAAAGCCGGATGCATGATTTAATGTACATTGTTATTTAAGTCATGAAAGGTAATCTGTATACAATGTATAGAAAAAAAACTGAAAGAAATTCAGCATAATATTTTGCATTTTTAAGGTAATTAAACCATGTAAGAGTGTAAGTTCTTTTTTCTATTTTATCTACTTTACAGTTCCCTTACTTTACATGATATGCATTGTTCCTGGTTCTCAAAATGCATTTGCTAAAGACAGGAAGAGGACTTGAAGAATTAAGGAGAAAGGAAAAATCAATTTGATTCATAACAGCAAACTGATGTGAATCCACCCTCATGATCCACCGCAGCAGGGAACTCCCACTGGCTTTTCAAAGTTATTTCTCCCTGAACATTGGCAATTCTATTGATTCCTGGGAAGAAACTATAGTACCTAATTGCTAAACAATTAGAATCGGTTACCCTATCCTGTTTTATATCTAAACTAACAAAAGAGAACTATGCCGGGTCAATACAAGCTTCTGTAAAAATACCAAATACCTCAAATGGTGCATTTAACAATGAATACTTATCAAACAGTCACAATAGCTTTATTCTTTTTTGAAAAAATAAGGGTCTAGAGAGAGAGCTCAGTGGTTAAGAGCACTAACTGCTCTTGCAGAGGACCCAGGTTCGATTCCCAGCAACCACATGGCAGCTACAAACTGTCCTTAACTCCAGTTCAGGGGAATCTGAAGCCCTCTTCTGACCTCTGCGGCATTGCATGACATGGGTGCACTCACATATATGCAGACAATACACTCATATACATAAAATAAAAATAATAAATAAAAGCTAAAAAAAATTAAGCCTACATTTTTCTTTCAAGGCAAATAGTCAACATATCCATTAATACAATTCAACCTACTTTCTCATGACACTAACAGCTATTATACATTTAAAAATAATTGTGGTGACCAATTTACTTTGCCCAAATAAATGTATTTTTGTTAGGACTTAGAAATTATTAAATGCAATTTTAAGCACAAAAATGAAAGAAAAGAATTAGGACTACCACTTACCTGCCATGCTTCTCTTGTCACAAGATTCCTTGTGTAGCCATAGAACGATGGATAGACAAAAAATTCTCCCAGCTGCTTTTCCTAAGCACAGTTGCCCTGTTCTGTTAGAAACAGCATAACACTAACATCTCTATTGGTGCCTCCGAGTTTTTCTCTTCTGTTTCTTCAAGTCTTTTGTGTGTATTTTGTTCAGTTACAAACAGGAAATGTGGTGGTGGAGGCTTCTGGAGTTTAGATCTGAAACAAGTAGACTTAAATAGTTGTGTAACATGGGAAGAGAACTCCCACCCCCCGCCCCATCTTCTGTACTTCAAAATTCAAGTCTGATTTAAAAATAAGTAATTAAAGCAAGGTGTGAATGAAACTAGGAGGAATCTGTCGCATCACTTGAGACAATCCAGGTCAGTTCATGTGAAAATAAGATAAAATGCACTAAACTGATAAGCCAGTGGTAAGCATGTCCTGGGTGTGCTCAGCTGCTCACTGTTTCATTTGAGGCCTGGTGGCAGAAGAAAATGAACAAATCCTGAGCATTTGTTAAGTGCATGATGCCTGTCAGACAGACATCATCACTCCAGGATACAAGTACCTGCCTTATTTCACCAGTCAAGAAAGCCAGTATAAGACTCTCTGTCTAAGCCAGAGCCACCTGGAAAACAAGCTGTACTGCTACCCCAGCCTCTGTATCAGAATTTCTTTAATGTTCTCACATAAGTGTGCTGTAGCAGTAGTTCAAATGTACTGGTTTATGATGCTGGGTCCCAAAGAATCAGAATTTCGCTCATGGAGCAGTCTTGGCTATTTTTTTTTATATGAGATTGTTAACATAGACAAAGAGGAAGATTTATTTCAAATTACTTCCTCTATCAATATATCTTTATTTTCTAATAGTTCCCTCTGTTTTTAAAAGCAATTTAATTGCATAGGATATGCACATATTTATGGAATACGGTATAATTCAATATATGTATGCTATTTGTAACAATAAAATTGGGGTAATTAGCCTTTATCTCTTCCAACATTTATTATTTCTATGTGTTGGACTGTGGTTATTTTTTAATATATCATAAATTTTTGCAGACTATACTCATGGTACTCTGCTGCAGAACATGCATTTGGTTGTCACTAACCTTTGTCTTGCCCTCCACCCCCTTTCCATTTCAGACCTCTAGTGACCACTGTCTAGTCTCTATTTCTATGACTGAATTATTTCCATTAGCATAACATTCTCCAGTTCCTCTTATGTCATCATAAGGACAGGATTTCGTTCTTTGTTATGCTGAAATAATATTCAGTTTGGTCTATACACCATATTCTCATTACATTTTCAGCCGTTCATGGACTTGGTTGATTCCATACCCTTGGTTATTTGAAGATAGGTGTTCTGGATGGTGCTTTGAGAAACTAATACGTGTGTAATATAATTGATGTAATGAATCATTAAAACTTCAGGGCCTCTAATTATGTTTGGCCCATCCATTTTAGGTGTAAGGTAATATTATCACACTGTTGGAAAGTTAATACAATGACAGCATCTTCTGCTACATCTTTGCTCCTTTCTGAAATTAACGCCATAGTAATCAGAATGCTGGGTTTGTGTTTCTTTGTTCTTTTTATAGAGTTGACAAGAAATACCAACAAATCTTTTTTTTTCATTTCATTTATTTTCCACAAAATTCTTCTTGTGAATAATTGAATCACTCAGTGAAAAACACTAGAAGATTCTGTCACCTAATATCCTTTAAAAACATTTAAAAATATCTTCTTGGGCTGGCAAGATGGTTCAGTGGGTAAAGGTGCTTGCTGTGCAAACCTGACCATATGAGTTATGTCCCCAGGAACCTACTGTGAAAGGAGAAACTGGGTCCCAAAAGTTATCCTCTCTCTCTCTCTCTCTCTCTCTCTCTCTCTCTCTCTCTCTCACACACACACACACACACACACTCCATGGTACACACACATACGTAATAATAATAATAATCTTAATATTCCATAGAATACTAGGCCTTAAGAAGCTCTTAGAAAGCAGTATTACTGAAAAAATGTATCTGGAAAAACTATTGCATTTTTCTGTATGAATGCATATTAGTATATTAAAGGCTAGGTAAGTCCTGAAAAAAGCAAAACTAACTAATCTTTCCATCAGAGCCTTTCTAAGCCTATTTGATTAGAGAACTCTACCTTCAGCAGCCATCTGTTAGCAGGGTAATGGGTTCTATGATGCAGTTCTGGGAGTCCACAGACCAACACTTCTTAGGTTCATGTAGAGTCCAGAAAGCAACAAAGAATCATAATTACTCCTGTAATTTGACAGACCACAGGCCTAGAGACAACAAGGGGACTGAATCCCAAACATCCAGGCAGAACTGGATTTTTTTTTTTTTTTGAGACAAGGTCTCTCTGTAGCTCCAACTGTCCTCATGTAGATCAGGCTGGCCTTGAACTCACAGAGATCTTCCTGCCTCTACCTCCAGAGTGCTGGGATTAAAGACGTGCATTACCACGCCCAGCTAGAATTGGATTCTTGAAACGTCTAGAAACAGTTCAAATGGAGAGGATGCCGTTGGAGATTGACCTTCATGGAAAGTAGCTGTCAAGAAAAGTGAATGTCACAGGGCCCAAGTGGGGACTCCACAGGTTAACAAAGCAAACATTTCTAATGTGTGCAAAATAGATGTATACTTACTACCTGGTTCATATAGATAATATTGGAAAAAGGGTCTTTGGACTAGAAATTTAAGTGCCAGCATCTCTTTATTAAAATAAACATTCTAGGAAATATAGAAAGAAGAAGATATTTCCATTCTGGGTTATCCATAAAGTCCAATTTCAGAAGTGTTAATAGTGTTCATCTGTGTGCCTTGTGTGCATGGGTCAAACAGCATGACTGTTGTTAGCCCAAGTCTGTTGATAGCCCAAGAGGCATAAAAGAGCTAGAAGAGCTCAAAGCCAAGCCCGGTGGTGGCAGTGTCTTCTAAATGCTTTCTGACCTCGTTTTTAACTTTACATATACTAGTCTAATTGGAACTGGAAAGGCAAGAACCTAGGAGAGACAGGCAGAAGCAACTTGCTTCAGGTCAACAGAGAATCACCTAATGGCTTAAACAAGTTCATGTATATCCCAAATGCATGACTGAGATCTCTAAAATAGTAAAAGCTGAGCCTAAAAACTACTTCATAGTTTCCAATTACTGAAATATTCTTGAAGCATGATATGAATTACAATGTTCCCCATTCCATAAATTTATGTAATAGGGAGATAAAGCAAAGTTGTGCAAAGTCACATGGAAAAGTTTATGCCTGTGCATCAAATAACTCCACACATTATTGTAAGTTTCCAGGAAAAAAGATATCTTTTCACTGAAAGATGGATGACTAAGCACATGAAGACATTACCAGAATATGAAAAAGTCTATGGATATATGCTTGTTAGGCTGTATTAGTGAGTATGTTCACAGATTTGAATAATGGCCTCATGATCTGTGTTCAAATAATAAACATGAGGACAGTATAGTACATGCTAATGAGATGGGTTATCAAAATGAAGCCTAAAGATAGCTAAACTCAGCACAATGTTCTGAAAACCTCCCAACAAACTATAAATGTAGGAAATTTGAGGGAAGGTTTTCATGACTACCTGTCAAGAAATGCAAATTAATAGGCCAACAAAATTGAAGTTTTGTTGCCAAAGGGAAATGAAAAATGTATAATGACAGCTGCCACTCAAAATTCTACACTCAGAAAAACAGAAAAAAATGGGTCACAGGATAAATAAAGAGGCCTAGTTTTTCTGTACTTTTTTTTGTGACTTTCATTTCTGAGTATTGTCTTTGCTTTATTTTTATCCCTCCCAGGAACCCTCCAACTCCTCCCATGTCTCCACCTACCCACCCCCACTGCCTCTCAATTTCTTAGATTATTTTTTATGGCTAGCTATTATTTGTATATTTATTAGCCTTTATCAGTGTGGCTTATTTATATCTATGTATGAATGTACACACACATTCACATATCTCAGTATCTCTTATCTGTATACAATGCTCACTTATAAGTGTTTAGACTGTTCATATGAACCAAGAGGCTCTAAACACTTAAAAGTTGGCATTATATTTACATTTTTATTTCTCTGTTGCTTAAAGTGCTCAAAATAATATGTACTACATAATGTTTCCTTCTTTTAAAAGCTCTTTAGAATCCCTTTGTTTTTGTAAAAAGAACATCTCTCTGTATTCTGTTTTCTTTATTATTGTGAATTGTTCCTAAGCTACACTGAAGCTGATACAAAGCAAGCCAACAACCTTATGGGAGAAAAGAAGGGAGACACCCTGCGCCTCCAATTACACTGGTTTAAAATGTGAAACTAGTTATGGAATTACAATAGCATCTGATTATATATAGTAATAATTCACATTTTCATTGAACTTCATTGAATTTAGACTAAGATCTTCTAGAAAATTTAATTATTCAGATGGAAAAGCAAATACAAGTAAAAAGCAATTGAACACTGCACAGATTTGGCATAAGATTCTTGAATTTTTTTGATGCACTCATTGTGCCAGAAACAATTGGAAAAGCTAAAATTTTTAAACCAGATAAAAATTAACTGTGAAGAAAAACATCTAACAGTAGATATATTTTCTTCTATGTGAGAAGTTTGTGTTCAAGTTTTCTATTGGACAATAATTTGCCTCTTTTCAGACTTCTCTGATGCCGAGAGAGAGAGAGAGAGAGAGAGAGAGAGAGAGAGAGAGAGAGAGAGAGAGAGAGAGAGAATACCAGAACAGACAACATAGTCTGAGAAATTTTGTCCTCATTTGAAATGCAAATGGTTCAAATAAAGTAAAACCTGCTTATTTACCATAGACTATCTAGTAGCTTTAGTTAGCTAATGAGAAGTTTTTTTCCCCACATAGGAATGTATGAAATACTTTCACAGTGTTATATAAAAGTAAGCACCCTTTCTTAAGCATTTTGCAGGCCTAATATTCTGAAGAATGTATTTTAGGA